TTAGAGGTCTTCTGAGGTGAAGGTTTAGGGTGTTCTCAGCAGTTTGGTCTGGAAGGCAAGAAGAGACAATGGCTTCTTGGTCAAGGGTGAGGTTAAAAAGTCTGGGGAATGAGGCTGCAAGGGTAGTTTCTCCCCACCCGAGGTTTTTCCAGAATTTTATTTTAGATCCATTATCCACTTTATATCTTATAAAGGGAAAGAAAAAAGAGTGAGTTGAGATTATACCTTTCCAAGGATTTATTGACTTTATCCTGTTCAAGTGGAGATTGCTATCCCACCCATTTGTGTTTGACCTGTATTTGCTTGAAATGACAGCTGCCCAAAGAGCATTGGATTCTTTAGGAAACCTCCAAAGCCATTTTCCCAAGAGAGAGGAATTTTTTTCTTTAAAGTGTCCAATTCCCAAGCCTCCTTCCTCTTTAGGCTTGCAAACCTGTGCCCAACTGACTAAGTGGCTTCCCCACCTCCTTCCCAAAGAAAGTTCCTTTGAAGCTTCTCAATCTGATTTTTGACTTTAGTTGGGGTTTGGAAGACTGAAAGGAAGTAGACTGGCAAGTTTGCTAATGAGGCCTTTAAAAGGGTAAGCCTACCCCCTTTTGAAAGATAGCATTTCTTCCAAGATGCTAATTTCTTCTCACATTTCTCCACCACTAGCCCCCAGAAGTTGACAGATTTTGGATTCCCTCCTAGAGGCATACCTAAATAGGAAATAGGAAGATTCTCCACTTTGCAACCCAACAAGAATTTAAAGCTTTCTAGAAGCTACTCTTCCACTGAGTTTAGAGCTACTTATACTTTTGCAAAGTTAACCCTTAAGCCCGTGATGAGCTCGAAGCATTCAATTATCCTTTTGGTGTTTATGATGTTAACTAGGGAGGCATCCAGGAACAAGGTTATGTCATCAACAAACTGTAAATGCGAAACATGAATCTTGTCCCTTCCCACTTCAAAACCTTTCACCAAATTAAGAAGAGTAGCCTTATTAAACAGATGATAGAATATGTCCATCACCAGAGTGAATAGAAAAGAGGAGAGTGGGCAACCTTGTCTGAGATCCCTGCTAGTCTTGAAGTAGCCCTTCGGTTCACCGTTTATCAATATTGAAAACCATGAAGAACCAATATATCCTTTGATCCACTTGATTCATTTCTGCCAAAGCCTCTCATCTTCAGGCAATCTAAAATACACTCCCAATCCACTTTATCATAAGCCTTTTCCAGATCTAGTATGACAAGGACCCCTGGATTCCCAGAATTTTTCCTATCTTCCACACACTCGTTTGCAATTAGAATTCTATCAACAATTTGTCTCCCTTTTACAAAAGCAAATTGATTTGGAGAGATTAGGTCTTCTAGGACTTCGTTTTGTCTTCTTGCCAAAACCTTAGCCAAAATTTTATAAGTGCTCTCTATCAGACTTACTAGTATGAAGTCTTTAACTTCCAAGACTCCCGCTATCTTTGGGATGAGACAAAGAAAGGTTGAGTTTAGGCCTTTATTGACAATGGCGGAAGTCCCTGAAAAAATCCATCAGATCTGACTTTACTATTTCCCAACACTTCTGGAAGAAAAAAATGGGAAAGCCATCCGGCCCAGGAGCCCTATCTCCATTCATACTAAAGACTGCCTCTTTAACTTCTTCCTCTTCAAAGCTTCTTTCCGGCCAAGCTCTCTTATCATCTGATAAAGTCGAGCCTTCCCATTTGTTCAAAGTAAATTGGCTATTACTTTCCTTGGAGTGCAGGCCTTTGAAGTAGGAGAGAAAGGCTTCCTTAATTTCCTTGGGGTTCTCCACTTCCTTTTGATTCACTTTCAGCTTAGAGATGAAGTTTTTTCTGCACCTTCCCGAAGCACAAGTGTGGAAAAATCTGGAGTTGTTGTCTCCTTCTTTCAGCCATCTCATTCTCGATCTCTGTCTCCAATAGATTTCTCCTCTTCTGATCAGCTGCTCCCAAACCTTCCTCAAATCAGCTCTTCTACCTCTGCTTAGCTCATCTAGGGTGCCATTTTGTTCTCTGCTATCTAACTCCTCTAACTCCATGAGAATTTTTCTCTTCTCTTCTTCAGATGCTTTAAATTCCTCTCTTCCCCAAGCTTTGAGATTTCTCTTTAGGACTTTTAATTTTTGTAACAACCTGAATCCAGCCCAGCCCTCTACTTTGCATTCTTCCCACCAAGCAGCAACCTTCTTGTTGAAGTCTTTGTGAGATAACCAGAATTTTTCCAATCTGAATGGGGCCTTTCCTTTGATGATCCTTTCAGTGTTCAGCAGGATAGGCCAGTGATCTGAAGTGCACCGTGGGTGAAGTTCTTGGAACAGGTTGGAGAATCTCTCCATCCAGTCCTGAGAGAGCAGAAATCTGTCCAGTCTGCAGCTTATGGCATTTTCTTGCATATTTAACCAAGTGAAGAGTCCATTATTAAGGGGGAAGTCACACAGATTGTGTCTAGATATGAAGTTAGAAAAATTCCTCATACTAAAGGTCGGGACTCTATCATTGGAGTGTTCTTGACTAAATCTGATGGCATTGAAGTCTCCTGCTACGCACCATGGGATATCTTCCTCATGCAGAGAGTCCAGTTCGTCCCAAAATCTTTCTCTATCAGATGGGGAGTTGGGCTCATACACTCCAGTTAGAATCCAACTAAAACCATCTTTGATATTAGTGACAAAACTGAGATTGAGAGTTCCCCTTTATCAATCTCCAGACCCGATATTTCTTCTTCCTTCCAAGCTAGGATGATTCCACCTGCAGAACCCACTGCTGGAACAGCAGCCCATTTTCTTCCCCTTATTCCCCAAATGGATTTCATAAGTTTTCTATCAATTATTTCCTTTTTTGATTCTTGGAGTATAATTATGTCTGGGTTTTCTCTTTTTAAAGTTTCTTTCACTATACTTCTTTTGAGCTAACCTCCCAAACCTATGACATTCCAACTTAAGACCTTCATTGAGTCACTCTTACTGAGATGTGATCCATTAATCCCCACTGAAGCCTTTTAATTTCTCTTTTTGGGACCCTTTTTTCTGCTTTCCTCCTGATGCTTTCCCAATTTGATATGTTCTTTCTTAGTTATTTTCTGTTTCTCTTCTCCTTCCTCTCTTCTTTCAATTCCCAAAGCTCTAGCAATGTTAACATCTCCTGTATTCTCTGCCACCTTCCTACCAATGCTAGATTGCGCATCTGTCTGAAGCGGATCATTCTGCTTTGGGTGGGATGACATTCCATTTGAACCTGAAAAACAAGATGGAGAAGAAGGACGATGAGAGACAATGGGGAGAAAATGAGTCTGAGGATTAGGAGAATCAAAAAAAAAAAAAAGGAGTGGATGATCTCCCTGAGGGTTGCTGAGGATTTTGGCGCGGACTGTGAAAGGGGGTTGGCAAAAGTCTTCCTTGTCTACAAACATGGATGTCTGAGTCTGAAGTCGATCCATATTCTGGATTGGTTAATTGTGTCTGCTCGAGTATCTTCACACTTCCCCGAAGGATCTTTCCCTGTGAACAATTCCTTCGCCCTTTCGAAAGCTTTTTCTTGAGGATCTGGTTCTGCTTTCGTTGCATACGAGCTAAGGTCTTCCTCTGAATCATCTTCTTTGTTGGCAGAATAAGAACCAGAGCTCTCTGAAGGAGTAGGAGCCCTGAATGCATTTCACTTGTACCGACCCAAGCTAGGGGGTGTTTCTAGAATGGATTGGCCAGAATAAGAGGGAGTCTCTGGTGGGCTTAAGGAGTTTGGTTCAAGCTCCCTTTGTGGGCCTTGGGCTTCAAAAGAGTGATAGGTGAATGCCACCAAAGAATTAGAGCAAGATGGGCAAAATGGAGGGGTGCATCTGGACTTTTATGTGATAGGTGAATATCATGTAGATTAAAAGGAAAATTCTATAAAACAATTGTAAGGCAAGCTATGTGGTATGAAGCAGAGTGTTGGGCAATCAAGAAACATGTCTAGAAAATGAATGTGGCAGAAATGCGAATGCTAAGATGAATGAGTGGAAAAACTAGAAAGGATAGTATTAGGAATGAAGTTATCCGTAGGAACCTAGGAATAGCTTTAATAGGTGATAAAATGAGAGAGAGTAGATTAAGATGGTTTGGGCACGTGCATAGGAGACCACCAACTGTGCCAGTTAGAAGAAGTGATTTGTTACACATTGAAGGGACTAGAAGAGCTCAGGATAGACATGGGTAGAAGTAGTAAGAAATGATTTAAGCACTAATAATTTAATAGTGGATATGGCTTTAAATAGAACGGATTGGTGAAACAGGATTATGTAGCCGATCCCATATAGTTGGGATAAGGCATGGATGATGATGATGATTTGACCATTACAAAAATCTGGTAGACATGCTAGCTAAGTAAGGGACACACAAGATCTAAATAGAAGGATGGAATACTTTACCAGCAACTATCATTTGGACAATCTGGAGGGAAAATAATCATCACATTTTGTTAACAAATGCACTGAAGTGGATGTAAGAAAGAAATCTTAAAGGGCTATTATGTTCTTGGTTAGGTGTAGAGGGGAATTTTCACAGCATCCAGCTTGATTCTTTTTCGGGAGTTGGGCCTTTTATGATTAACCTATATGTTTATTTTTGTATATTCCCAATGTACAGTCTTTCAATGTACATGGGCTGATGTATTTCCTTAATAGCATATTAATATAATGTAATACTTTACCTTATTCAAAAAAAAAAAAGGCAAGAGGTACATAGGTGATGCGACCAATATGTATTGGGGATAACAAACTAACAAAATTGGAAACCCGGACAACTAAAATGATTGCTTAAAGGGTGCATCTGGGTTGGCAGCAGGGACCACCAGGGATGCTGGGCAAGCACACTCTTGTATATGTAGATACATCCTTTTTCTATAATTAATGAAATTGATAGTTAACACTAGAAAAAAAGTTATTACATGGCATTAGAAAAACGGGTTTCAGTCTCAAGTTCATGCCAGATTGTCTCATGCAATGTTTATGCTCCTTTGACAACAGATACTTTTTGTGGAGAAAACAATGCGGCCAACTGCAATCAAGATCTTCCGGACACAATCCCCAAGGCATTTTGAAGGAGGTGATTGGGACAAAGGTGGTTCTTGTCAAAGATTACAGCCTTTGTTGCAAGAACAGGTACTCTTGTTCCATGATTTTGTCATTGACAGGTCATCCTTGGTTGCATAGAACATTTGTCCATTTTTGTCTGTGTGCTAATCCATGACAATTTCCTTCTATTCCTGCAATATTATGGAGTTCATCATCCTTTCTGAGGTTCTCAGTGACAATATGTCCTATATTTTTTATGTGGGATAAAAGATTGGTTAAAACCACCCAGAAAGATATCAGTGAGAAAGATTAAGTAAACTATTTTAATAAAACAAAAAGTGTCACTTCTTGCATAAAAATGGCATGACACAATGCACATTTAATATTATAATAGTCTTCGGGATAAGGCCAGGAAGAACAAAATAAAAGGACAATTTAGTCTCAGAACTAATTGTATGTATTGCACCCATAGCCAGGTGAGGACCAGCCTCCTTCAACACTAATGATGAAGGTCCAAAGTTAGCCTAACCTGTTCTCAAAATCCTTGACCCCAAGACTAGTCTAGATGAATGTCATCCCAGACTTCAATCTCTTTCTGTTTAATACAGGTATAGGACATTTCGGTAAGTTCAACCTCAGAACCTGGGCTGTTCCTCTTTAATGCAAGTAAGGAGAACATTGCATTTTGGAGTGGATAGGTTCTTAATAGCTATGGATTTTCTATTTCACCCTCTTTAGCAACAGATCTCTGTTACATGGCAAAAGGAGAGTTGTTTTTTCTAATCATTTTTCCTCTCCAAAAAGAACTTCAAGATTTGTTAGTAGTCCAGATATAATAATCATTGGCAATGATATTGTACATGTGGCCAGATCTATTAAGGTCCCACTCCAGATGGACTGCTTGAACTGATCATGTCATATTTCCATGTGGCTAGAAAAGCTGAACTGTCTGGAGAGGAGTTCAGGGTGGACTTTCTGGAACTCTCATCCTGAAGCCCTTTTTTCTTAATTTTTTGTTTTGTTACCACTCCCACTGGTTTGTTTTTTCCTTTCCTTCTTTCTTTTAGGACTTCTTGCAATACATTGCTCGCACACTTTTTGTCCTTTGCAAAGTTATCCTCTCAGGTATTCATCCTTTGCAAGAAAATGGGAAAGTTATGAACTATTTTCTCATCATCTATTCTGGATATGTCCCTAGGATTTGGATTTTGGTATCAGTTCAAGTTTCTCTTTAGTAGTCCATGGCTGTATGTATGGCCCTCTACAAGTCTCTCTCTCTCTCTGATCTGCAGAAATTTATATTATTATATTAATTGTAAGTGAGAAAGTACAAAATGTCTTTGCAATACATAAGCTGATTTACAAAGAAGCCCAGTACAAATGCTGCCTTACAGCCCCTTGTTTTTCTAGGGTGTCAACTAACCCATTTGAATTCAGCATTTAGGTTTTCAATCCTGTCCACTTCCCTAAAAACATGTTTGAGAGTCCATGGTATATGTCTATTACATCTTGCCCACGAAATAATTACTTTTGAGTCCCCTTCCACCTCCACTTGTCTGAATCTCAATTGTTTAGCAAGCTTGAGCCCTTGTAGTAGTAATACCAGTAATTCAGCCTTCACCGACTTGGCAGTACCAATTGGTCCTGAATATAATGTCAGTATCCTACTCTCCGAATTTCAAATTGCACCACCTTTTCCTGCCAACCGGGGTTGCCCAAAGAGCTCCCATCAAAGTTCAGTTTTACTTTATCACGTACTAGGGGTTTTCATTCCATTCTTATTCTTTTTCCTTAGAGGATTGTGCTACTTCCCTCCAGGTTCTTATAATGTCAAACACTGAGATGTTGTGGAAGTTGTCCATGGTTTTTACCTGAAAAGCTACCTTCACTTCAATACTATCTCGAACCTCCTCCAAAGTCCTGTTCTTTGCAGAAAAAATTCTGTTATTCGTCCCCTTCCACATGGTCCATACAATTGCTGCTTTAGTATCTCTCCACATTGCCCTTCCTCTCTTCTTTGGTTGCCTCAAAAGGTTCAGATTGAAGATGTCCACAACCTCTGAGGGTCTTACCTGCAGCCAAAAAGAGAACAGAAAAACTCCCAAAATATGACTTACAAAGGAGCAGGAGATTAACAAGTGAGATAGGGTCTCTCCACTATGCCTACATAAGAAGCACATATGAGGAGAGAGGCAAGAAGAGGACCTTCTTTTTTGCAACATATCACAAATATTTACCTTTCCAAGGAAATTTTCCAATAGAAAGCTTGAATTTTAGGTGGAATAGGCTTACCTTGAGAGCTAGGTAACAAAAGGAAATTAAAAAAGTAAAGCAAGTAACGAACCAATCTGGTGAATGTATCCAAAATTCTAGAATATTCCAAATTGGGATCCAAAAAAGTTGGCTCTAAAATGTCAAGCAGGTCAGTCAAAGAGTTGCACTCACTTTCTCTTAGGCCTCTTTTGAAACCAAGGTTCCAATTAAGGCCTGAAGGGGAGAGTGTACCCGAACTAGAAATGCTTTCATTCTGGAGGTTAGAGAGGGCAAAGGGTTTAGGAAACTGATCTTTTAGAGGTAATTCCCCTACCCAAAGATTTTCCTAGAAACAAATTTTATCACATCTCCCCACATCAGAATGGACAGAATTGAAAAAGAGAGGATATACCTCATGAATTGCTTTCCAGGGAGAAGCTGAAGTTGCGTTAGGAGCAATTTTATCATCCTAACCATTACCCTCCAAGCCATGAATGCTAACAATTACCTTGTGCCACAGCCTGTTTCTTTCAAAAGGAAATCTCCACATCCATTTTCCCAGTAATGTGGTGTTCCTAAGACTAATGTTTCCTAGTCCTAGGCCCCTTTCTCTTTTGGTTTACAAATCTATTCCCATTAAAGTGGTTCTTTTTTTTCCTCTCCTGGTTCCCAAAGGAAGTTCCTCATATATTTCTCTTTTGGGATTCAGAATGTGGAAAGGAAGCAAATGGGTAGGTTTGCTAACATTGGCTCTAATCAAAGTGATTCTTCCTCCTAGAGAAATATAGTTTCTTTTCCAAAGGCCTAGTTTCTTGGCAAACCTCTCCACCACTAGCTTCCAAAAGCTATCAGCTCTTGGGTTTCCCCCATAGTCCTAGGTGGGTAATAGGCCAGCTCCTAATCTTAATCTTATAACCCAAAATCTCCGCAAACCTTAGGATTTCCCCCTCTTCTAAATTCCAAGTTAATTCCCACAATTCCACTTTTGTTCCAATTGATACTTAGCCTTGAGATACTCACGAATCTGTCAATCAAAGCCTTCAAATTTCAAACCATTTCCAAGTCAACCCTCTTGCAGAACAGAATTGTATCATCAACAAATTGAAGATGAGATACTACAATTTGATTTCTACCCACTCTCCAACCCCTAAGTAGTCCCTGTGTGTTTGCATCCACAACCATTCTACCTAACACCTCTACCACTAGGGTGAAAAGGAAAGGGGATAGAGGGTCATTGAGGGTCCCCTTGTCTTACTCCTCTTTTTGCTGGGAAGAAGTCTTTTGCCACCCCATTTATGAGAATTGAACAGTGGACTAAGCTAACACATCCTTTGACTCAACCTCCATTTTTTTTTTTTTGATAAATGAATGAAATTGTTATTAATAGAGAAACAATGAGCATACAAACAACCTAAGAAGAGGCACAAGATGTGACCTCTTTAATGATGAAAGCAAAAAACTCACACTAAACACTAAACAGAAATCAGTTTGCAAAGTAGCCCAATACAAAGAAACCCTTGAAACCCCTTGTTTAGCAAGAGAATCAACCAAAACATTTGTTGATTTGCTAACCCACTGAAAATTAACTGACATGTTTCTTGTAAATCAATTAACTCTTCTTAGGAGATCCCTATAATCCCAATTAACAGTATCTGGATTCGCCAACCAACCCACAACCACCTTAAAGTCTCCCTTAATTAACAAATTCTACACTCCCACAACATCCATTGCACCAAACCCAAGACTTTCTAAGATTTTTATCAAAAAACTCCAATCAATTAAATTGTAAGTCTTCTCTGAATCTAGTTTACACACCAAACTCTTTTTCTCTTCTCTTTCTCTTTTAACAATACATTCATTTGTCACTAAGATCTGGTCCACAATTTGTTTACCTTCCACAAAAGCCCCTTGAAAAGGTGATATCATTGAGGGTAACACCTACTTAAGCCTGTCAAACAAGACCATTGAGATGATCTAATAAATGCTCCCCATCAGGCTAATCGGTCTAAAATCTTATGGTGCTTTTGGCTCCTTTTTAGTCACTAATTATATGAATGTAGCATTTGCTCCAAAGGGGATTTCCCCTTTATGAAAAAATTCCTCAAACACTTACAAAATCCCTTCAGGAAATCCCAGTACTCCTAGTAAAAAGCCATGGAAAATCCATCAGGCCTGGGGGCTTTAGACCTATCCATTGAGAATATGGTTTCTTTGATTTCTTCCAAAGAAAATCTTTTTTCCAACAACCGCGACTGTTCCTCTGAAACTATATTCCAATCCAACTTTGGTAAGCTTATCCTATTCCCAACTGGAACTAAGATATTCTTAAAGTGATTTATAAAGACACTTACAATCTCCTGGAGCTCTCTTATTTCCTAACCTTCCACTTCCACACTATGAATAGTGTTTTTCCTTCTTCTACCATTTGCAAGTGAGTGAAAGAATTTAGTGTACCATTCCCTTTTGCAATCCATTTACATCTTGACTTTTGTCTCTAACAAATCTCTTCTCTCCTTAAAGTCTCCAATTCTACCTTTAACTTCCATTTTTCCTCTTTTTCCTCCTCTTCCAAGGTCATAAGAACTTCTTTTCTATCCAATTCTTCAATTCTAGTGGAAAAGTTTCCTTTGATATCTTCAACTCTTTCGAAATGCTCTAAATTCCATGCCTTTATGTTCTCTTTTAAGCTCTTTAACTTCCAATAGAAACTTCCTATTTTCTTTCTCTCTAGACCTCCAAGTTCTCCTCACCATGTCTTTAATCTTTCCTTAAAATAAGGATCCTCAAACCACATTTTCAAACCTAAAGGGAGTAGGACCACCAAAAAGAACTTTCTCTATACATATAGGACAGTGATTTGAAGTAACTCCATGCAAGGCTCTTGCACTAATGTCCCCTATAACTCCTCCCAATCATAAGAGAAGAGGAACCTATCCAATGTGGAGCAAGTTTGGGGGGGGGGGGGACCTGCAACAATCTGACATCATCCCACCATAAAATCTTATGAGAGAGAGAGAGCGCAATGTCAGGTTCTTCTTCAAATCTACAACACGATATGGGCACAAATATACCGTTTAAAATGTTGATATCATGTGTCTATACTTATTTGTTTAAGTTAAATATCATTTATTAAGTAATTTAAATTTATATCATTTAAATGATATTTAACTTCTAGAATCTAGGCAAGGCTCTCTCTCTCATAAGATTTTATGGTGGTATGATGTCAAGTTGTTACAGGCCCTTCCTTGTATAGGAAACCAAGGTTTAAAATGTCGATGTCGATCATCCAAATTAGTTTTTTAAACCCGTCGTAGACCTAACTGGTTGAACTGCTCGAACTGTCACCTAGTCAAGATTTCGGGTTTGATTTGAGTAAAACCCAGAGAAAGTCAAAACCCGTTGAATCGGTCAAAAACCGTCCAACCCGAACGGTTGGACCGTTGACCTAGTCGACCAGGTGACCAGGTCGTGGGTTGCATACCGTGTATGCAAACTTCAAGACGCCATAACTTTGCACCCTGATGTTCGACTGAGGTGATTTTTTTTTTATTTTGGGTAACCTTTCAAGATCTATGCATCCCAAGGAGACGTAGGCACCTTGCCCTACTATTTTTGCGAAAAAAAAAACCATTTTTGGCCTCAAATTGCAATTTGTAATATTTTTATAAATAAAAAATTAAAAACATAAATTAAATATAAAATAATACATATATCAGATCCAGCCTCCAGGTCGTTTTGAAAACACTGATCCAAATATAAGAAACATGTCAGAAATGTTGTAAACATCATATGGAAATATTGTAAAATTTATAGACATGGTGGAAACATTGTAAAATATGCAAGATATAGAATGATATTTTATGAAATGATAAAAGAGGTATAGACACCTTTTTAAATTATTATCTTGTTCCAAATCATTAATCAAAGCTAAGAAACTAAGGTTATTGACAAAAAAAAGTATGTTCTGTAGTTGCCCTATAAACCTTAAGATTCAGAGCTTCATGATAGAATCATAGAATGAGTTAAAGCAAAATTTAAGCTCAGAAAGTGTAAATAAATGGTTGTAATAAATCAACCAAAAAATCTATTACACAAACAAAAACTAATAAAAGTTAATATTTGACTTCATGTTTGAAATGAATATTGAGCTAGCTCAAAGTGGTAATCATGTAAGTTAGGTGGACAATAACTTGTTACTTCACATATCTACAACATTGTCACCAACTTATGTTATAATACTATCTCTTGTACTCTACATAATACCTGTAGTGTTCTTTGGGAAATATGTTGATTCTAGTAAAATTTCATGTCACTACCTATTAGAGTCGGCTGTTGAAGGGTAGTATAGGGATTTTACATTAAGTTATATGTTAAATGTAATTATGAGCAGATCTTAAGTTAACTGATGTGTCTCTCACTTAATTGAGGGCATAGAAAGAATTTTCTCTCTAGTTCGACCAGAACAGTTTTCTCTTCTTTTTCTTTCTTCACAGAAAGAAAAAAAAAGGACCAATCGTTTTCTTGTTCTGGAGGTCATGCCTCCAATGAATGAAGTTGTTGTGGTTTTGTGTGGATGGTAGAAAACCCTCTACTCGGCAGTTCAAAGAGGGCTGATTTCAGGTGTGAGGATGGTGACAGTGCAGGTTTGGTGAAACAGATTACATGATTGCTGAACCAAATTCTGATGTGTAGCAGTGAGATAGTTAGATTACATGAGTGTAGCAGTGAGAAACAGATTGCGATGTGTTGCTGAACCAAATTTCCTGTTCGCGAGGTGTATTGTGAGGTTTTATGGTGCTGAAAGTGGAAGACAGCAGTGGTGTTGTTGCTAAAAGTGAACAACTGTGAGTGTTGTTGCTGAAACCTATGATAGTAGGTACCCTAGTAGTAATCAGTTGTTGGTGTGTGGTGTGGTGACTAATTAGTGAAGTAGGGTGACAAACTAGTGGTACAATTTCTTCCCTTTTTCCTTGTGCAGTCATGGGTGACAACAGTGAATGCAAGTCTAGTGTGATGGTCCCTTCTGATTATCTGAATGTGCACAGATGACATCTATCAAATTGAATGGTGAGAATTATGTGCCTTGGGCTAAATCTGTTGAAGTTTTCCTAAAATCTAAGAAGAAAGTGAAGCATGTGAGGGAAGATAAACACCCAACTGATTATCAGGGATATGATGAGTGGGAGCAAGATGATGCACAAATTATGACATGGCTATGAAACAGTATGGAACCCAAAATCAGTGTGAACATGTTTTTTAGATACAGCCAAGGAGGTTTGGGATCATGCAAGGAAGTTTTATTCTAGAGAAGACAACACTACTAGGGTTTACCAACTGTACCAAGAGTATTTCAATTTGCAATAGGGGAATCAGAGTCTTGAAGACTATTATGCAAGTATGAGAAATCTGCGAAATGAGTTGAATGTATATCACCCTCTTACACCTGATGTCAAAATTCAGCAACAATAGAGAGAACAATTGGATGTGACCAGATTTTTAGTAGGGTTGAAGTCTGAATATGAACCGATAAGGGCACAAATACTAGGTGGGTTTGCTCTTCTCTCTCTTGAGGAAGTGTTTTCTCGTCTCTAGAGGATCTCAGTTGGACCCACGGAGAACTCACTATATAAGATAGGTCTACATTTGCAGTAACGAGAGGGGGAGGCCGTGGAGGTAGAGGAGCTCGAGAAGGTCAACCTGGCCGTGGTAGTGGTGGTGGACCTATGAATGGTCATTGTGATGGTCGTGTTGGAGGTCGAGACTTAGGGGGAGCCCATGGTAGAGGATGTAGTAATGGTCAGAGGAGGTGTACACATTGTGGTATGGAGGGACATACTATCAACTTATGCTATGATCTACATGGCCCACCTTCAACCTGGGCAAATCATGCAGCTGTAACTGGTGGTGGTTCGAGACAGGAATCTCAGCAAACTGATCAGATACCCTCTACATCTACAGATGCCTCCAGAAAGGAGATGATGAGTGTTCCACGGGATGAATATGAGCGGTTCATTCAGGGTACGTCTCAGCAGAACACGGTTACCCTTGCACACTCAAATATGGCTTKTCTGGCATCCAAACCTTCCCATTGGATTATAGATTCTGGAGCTTCCAATCATATGACTAGGACTCCAGGTGTGTTTTCATCCTTTTCTTCGTCCTTCACATCACAATTTGTTACTCTTGCCAATGGTTCTACATCTTCCATATGTGGTTTTATATGTTCCCAAGTTTCCCTTTAACTTGATGTCTGTTAGTAAATTGACTAAGTCTCTTAATTGCTCTATCACTTTTTACCCTTCTTGTGTGTTTTAGGATCTCAAGAAGGGGATGAAGATTGGTGGAGGGCATGAAGCTGGTGGACTGTATTACCTTGATGGAGGTGGTTCGACAACAACCCTTCAGACATCTCTTTCTCATCTTCAGTGGCACTGCAAACTTGGCCATCCATCTCTTAAAGCTCTTTAGTTACTTGTTCCGTCGTTGTTCCTATGGGGCTGATGTCCTTGTTCATGGGGTGGTTGGAGAGGTAGCCATTCAATGTGGACTACAAGGAATCAAGGATCTATGTGGTTGATGTCTTTATCCCAGTTTTATTACATTGGTCATAGGAAATATTGTTTTTTGACTTCTTGATGCAGGAGCCAAGAGTCAAATAGAAACTTCTGATCTTTTATGTATATGTTTTTTTTTTTTGTAATATTGGGCAAAAGCAATATTTTGGTCATTTTGCATGTGTGAATAAACCCTAGTTGATTCTAGGTCAAAGTAGAGAAGAAGAAAGAAGAAAGAAAAGAGAAAGAAGGAGAGAAGAAGAAAGAAGAAAGAAAAGAGAAAGAAGGAGAGAAGAAGAGTATTCGGCCAGACTAGAGAGAATGTGAAAATTCACTCTCCTAGCCGACCCACCTGAATTTTATTCATAAACTTAGAGTTACAAGAAAGACAATTTTGTCCCTCATAGAAGATGGGACACATAACCTAAACTCAGATACAATAGACTTTTCATTTCAAGAAGATACACCAGAATGACCAAAATACCCCTGACTCGAGCATTCYAAYACTCYYCCTMAAGCTGGAGAGTATATATCATATAGTCCCAGCTTGTTACAAATGTAATCTATTCTTCCCCGAGACAATCCTTTTGTGAAGAGATCTGCCCA